TGCGTATATGACTCTAATATAATCATCTCAGTTGTTACTTAGGAGAATCACAAAATGTATTCAAAAGTTAATAAGAAATTATAATTTAAACGTCTAAATATTTAAATATTATTTTATTAAAATTTATATTTAAGTAACTTAAATAAATTTTCAAATCAATAATTATTATAAAAAACTTGGCCATTTAAGCCTTGAATATTTTTTTCTCGCGAATGTTTAACGTATTTTATATATTTTTTAAAATATTGAGATTTTTATTTATATTAGGGTCTATAGTAATTAAAATGTGGAGTTAAACATAAATCAAAATATTTTTTTAATAATTATTATATTTTATAAATTTTAGTTTTTGAAATATTATTGAAACTATTTTATTATATATGCATCAATATAATAGCTAGAAGGACAATTTGGGAAGAAAAAATGCCACATCATTCAAAGTCAAAGTTTTATCATTAAATTCATTAATGAGGGGGGTAAGTGTTACATTTGTAACTTTAAGGGGGTAAGTGTTACCACCCCTATAGTTTAAGGGTGCAAAGTGTATTTAGCCCTTTACATTTTAAAGTGAAATATTATATTGAATACATATTTATTTTATTCAAAGCAATAATTATTTTAAAATGGATTGTTGATGTGCCCACAATTTAATTAGTGGACCCTTTTGGTACTGACTTATGAGCAATTATGGTCCAATGTTTTTCAATGATTGAGACTAATGAAGTCACATCTTGGGCCTAAACGACTAAGAGATAATTAATATTAATGAAAAATGTATTTTAATTTTATTATATATCACTTTCTAATTAAAATGAAAACGAAGTTATTAAAAATCGTAAATTAAGAGATTTTTTTCTATACTGACGATAATTTTTTAGAAGAACGACACCCGATGAGGGTAGCAGTCTCTGTTAAAAAACAAATGAAAAGATGCCCCAATGTAGAATCTATCTATAGTTTTCTAGTATGGTCTTTCTACTATGTACATGCGTGAATGTGTGTAAATATTACATTAGTGTAACATCTATTATAAGATCATCACTTCTATATGATATTACCTTTTCAAATTTAAATTTGGAATCGTCCCACATTTTATATGGACATACTTTTCAAAACGAATTTCATCCGGGTCACCGACAATTTATATTTTCTATACCTTTTCAAATATATACTTATATATAAAAAAAAATAAAAAAATTCAAAGAATGAGAAACCTTTGCACACGTTCACATATTCTACATTCGAAATCTTCTTACAACGTTTGTAATTGAATACTTGAGGCTCCAAAAAGAAGAAAGTCATGTAAGAAAAACAAAGCATATTGCAAATAAAGCATTCCCCTTTTTTTTTTTCAGTTTGAAGAATATTTAATTTGCAAAAGAAAGTAGCATGTAAAAAAAAGTAAAGAACAAGTCGGTGGATGCCCTCACCTTTCTTTCAATGTTTTGAAAACCGGACCGGACATTGAACCGGACAAGGAACTGGGTCATGGTTGGACCGGTTCAACCAGGGTCCAGCCGGATTTTTTTACTTTTTTTTTAATAAATTTATTAATTTAATACCTAAAATATAATATTTTTTATATTTTCTTCCCAAATTAGTGACTCAAGTCAAAGTTTATCTAGAAAAAAGAAAAGAAAAAGAATTTTCAATCATTTTTTCCTCTATCCTCTCTCTCTCCTCTCCCCTCTCTCTCTCCTTTCTGCTAATTCCTTCGTCGGTTTTCACAGAGCCTTTCATCTCCGCTTCTTCCTTTCTTCTTTCTTCTTTTTTTCCTTTCTTCTTCCTTCTCTCTTTTCCGTCGATTTATTCTTTCTTCTCTATATGGCAACCACCACTTGGATCGGGTCACATGCGACCCAGATCCGTTCAATCCCAACCTTCTCCCACAAGATTTGGTCACTTAAGACGACCATCTGTGCAGATCCGGCCATTTTGAGTTAAAACCCGGTTCTCGGACTGGTTTCCGTGTTTCCCGGTTCATACTGGTCGAACCGGGTTTTTGATAATTGGCCCGGTTTTTTGAACTTTTTGGGTTTTTACATCTAACCGGACCGGACACGGCGGCGGTTCGTGGTTGAACCGGTCGGACCGGCGGGTTCGGTCCGGTTTTCAAAACATTGCTTTCTTTCTTCCTAGGTGTTTACAAGTGAATTTCTTAGTAAGTATGATGCTACGTTTCAAGTTTTATGTTTCAGGTTTAGGGATTCGGATTTAGGGTTTCTAGGGTTTCGGGTTTAGGTTTCACTAATTTGCAGGATTGTTACTAATAGGAAGACACCGTAATCGAACCCGAAACTTGGGACCCTCCGGATATAAGAAGTCTACCTCAAACAAATCGAAAAACTACTATAAACTTTGTTAGCATGGAATTGCAGCAATTGTCCATATGGGGGAGGCCCTGATATGGGCGGCCTACAATCGAATGCCGTTGACGTTTGTGTATGCTGAATGCACTATAAGGTTAGAGAGTTTGTGTATTACGTTACTCCAATTGATTTTAGGAAAACACCGGATATAATAAGTCTACTTCAAACAAATCGAAAAACTACTATAAACTTTGTTAGCATGGATTTGCAGCAATTGTCCATATGGGGGAGGCCCTGATATGGGCGGCCCACAATCGAATGCCGTTGACGTTTGTGTATGCTGAATGCACTATAAGGTTAGAGTTTGTGTATTACGTTACTCCAATTGGTTTTAGGAAAATTGGTAACATCTGGGGTCCTACACAAGTGGTTATAAGGCTAGGTAGGGTCTTTCGCATTTTATGACAACAATTGTTTTTAGGACAATTGGTAGCGTATACAAACTTTAAATTCATCTGTTAGAATTTTTTGCTCCAACCGAAAAATCTTTTTTTTTTTTTAATAATGAAGGAACCCGCAATCAACGACAGTAAGCTAACCATGTATGACAAGCTCGACCTATCGACCATTGATCTCGAAGCTGGACCAACTGACATACGCTCACTGGACCACTCTTTGCAGAAGGGACAAAATAATAATAAAAAAAAAAAAAGATATGGGTGAGAGAGGCTCGAACTCTCGACCTCAGGATCACTCAGAAGCTATGAGACCTACGCGCTAGCCAACTGCGCCACCACCCCTTGTACATCGAACCGAAACATTTTGTATATCACCTCTACACGTACAAGATAAATCATTGCCCAGTTGCATTCTAAAAAACAAGATTATTTTTTTTTTCGCCCCACCTAGAATAGTGGCTAAGATGATTTTGAGTTTTTTTGCACCACGCTAGAATATAGTAGCTAAAATGATTTCTAACTTCTTTTGCCTCGCACTAGAATATAGCTAAGTTGATTTATGAGTCCGTTGAATGTGTATATAAAACATTATTATTATAATAATGTTTTGATATTGGTTTATGATAAGGAGTTGAAGAGGGTTGTTGTCATCCCCCCACCACACAAATATATGTTAAATGCCACACCAGGTTATTTACATCGAGTGTATTTGAATCGTAAATTATGTTAAATAACTACCCACAAGTACACGTATACATAAGTATGTGTGTGTGTGTGTGATTATGTGTAGATCTGCAGTTCAAATTCATCAAGTATAACTAATCAGGTGTAGTATCTAATTTCCCATATATCGAATTATATAGTCCATTAATTAGTTTGGTTAGTTGGTCTCATATATAATAAATCCATTCAACTCTTGGAAGAAAATATTATTATGCATGACGCTAATGTTAAATATGTCGTTCTCGATTGATCAAGTAGGACTTTTAATAAGCCTCGTTTATTTGAGAGACAAACCCTACATATTTAGGATATTTATACTTTTGGTCCCAAGTAATTTAAGATAGGATTCATATCATTTTCAATTCAACGGTTTTTACAAGTCTCATTGGATGAGTGATGATTAATTTTTTTGTCTCTTTCTTTTGGAATTTAATTTGTTCTTGTCACTAGTCACATGCTCGAATCGTAAATCTTATTGGGTAGGATAAGATCGGTGGAGATTGATAGTCTCTGTGAACTACTGGATCAACGACAGCTAACTAATTTTCTGATTCGGAATATGCATCTTAAAAATCAATCTCAAATCAACACAAATTCTCAGTCGGATTAAGAAACTCGATTGGACAAAACAATTGCACACATTAATACAATAGAACCCTAATATATGTATGAATACTATGCATGGAGGGAAAATGAATTTGAATTTCTACAACGATCACACAAATATATAATTAATTAAGGACAAATGAGATCTTCTTTCACTCGATAAGAACAAGAGGTTTACGAAATACAATCAAGGGATAGATTTCATCAAATCTCTCTAGACGAAACTTGGTGCCGACGGAGGTTTTTACGATTCTTTCAAAAAATATAATATTTATTTAAAACATATAAAATTGAAAAAATAATTTCTAAACAATTGGACCTTCTAGCTGGATCAATTAATACAAGTCCCAATTACGGGCTTTTATTTATTTTAGAAATCCAGATGGATCTTATTGAATTTATTGGGCCGAATTCATATATCAGACAAGACATATATCATTTATTGTCATAATTTATTTTTTCTTATATAATTAAAAATAATTTTTTTTTTCTTATGATATGATCTCTTTAATTAGTGAACTATATGTATTAATTTCTCCTAGAAATTACATGATAATGAAGCAGTGTATCTCGTTTAATTTAATCCAAACCATTGTTTCTTTTGTGGTGATAAATTGTTAATTAAAAAAAAAAAAAAAAAAAAAGTTGTTAGTAACCAAAACAAACTTGTCCAACCATGACCTATTCTTCATACCATCCTTTCTTTAATTTCATCTAACTAATACATATATATTATTTTTCACAATTTATTTCTCTCCTTTTGCCAAACCAAAAACCTCGTACTCCCCAAAAAACAATCCTATGAAATTATCGTTCTTGATCTTGTTATAGATACATTGCGAAAAAAATTAAAAAAAGAAAATGGGAAGAAGTAAGCTTCCGATCAAGAAAATCGAAAACACGACTAATCGACAGGTGACATTCTCGAAACGTAGATATGGTCTAATAAAAAAGGCGTACGAAATAGCTGTCCTTTGTGACATTGATTTAACTTTGATCATGCTCTCTCCTTCGGGCCGTCTAAGCCATTTCTCCGGTAGGAAAAGGTAATATCAAAACCGTGTCGTTTTTTTTTTTTTTTTTTTTATATAATTTTATTTGAGAATTTTTAGTCATGTTATTTGGAAGATTTTTGATTGATTAAATATATGTATTGTTGTTGTTTTGATGTTGGTAGAGTCGAGGATGTGATTTATCGATACATTAATCTCTCCGATCGTGATAGAGGAGGGTAATTTTTTTTTTCTTTTTTTTTTACTATTATCTTAAATTTTGTATTGATTATTTTGTACACTTTTATGTAACTTGATTACTATTTTTGAAAAATGCAGGATTATACCAAATAGAGAGGTAAGTTGATATATATATATATATATATATATATATATATATGAAATAAAACGTTTATTTTGTTAATTGTATTGATATTCATATGATACAAATTGATGCAGCAAATAGTGAACACTTTAATGAAAATCAAAACTGAAAAGGATGCTGCTATGCAAAGGTGTGTGTATATATATGGGTAATTTACGTCCACCCCTGAAGTAAGGTCAAATTACGAAAAATCCCTTCATGTTTGGGTAATTACAATCACCCCTTAACTAGGAATCTTCTTACGCGTCCACTCTTGTAGTGTCAAATTCAATAGAATCTTTTAGTATCCATTGAATATTCTCTAGTTTGTACTCATTTTATGTAGAAATGCAGTTTCTGATGCACCATTGATATTTACAAGCCATACATCTTATGATCATCTTGTTTCAATATGTGAAGCTCGAATGGAGTAAAACGAGTACAAACTGGAGAATATTCTACATAATCTAAAAGATTCTACTAAATTTGACACTCCTAGGATGAACGTGTAAAATAATTTATAGTTGAGGGGTGGTTGTAAATTGTAATTATCCAAATATAAGGAGTTTTTTTTGTAATTTGACCTTACCTCGAGAATAACAGTAATTTACCATTTTTCTTTTTGAGGATTTTATTTATTTATTTTGGATAATAACATTTAATGATTTGGAACAGTCCTGCAACTCCTGGCTCTGATACTGAGGTAAAACAACATTGTTCTCTGTAAGAGAAGATTTTAATTAGCAACTCATTTTTTTTTTAAATCTTTTTTAATATTTTTTTTACCATTATAAAATTTTATTTTCTTTTTCAGGAAATACAGAAAGAGATTCATGATTTGCAAGATCAACTTGACAATGCTGTAAATCAGCTTAGGTACTAAAAAGAATTAGTAAATTACAACCATCATGGAGGTATGCTCAAATTACGAAAAACCCCCTCATCTTTGAATAATTATAATTATCCTCTCAACTATGAATTTTCTCGCACGTCCACCCTTATGGTTTCAAATTCAACATAATCATTTAGATTCTATGGAATGTTCTCTAGTTTATACTCGTTTTGTGAAAAAATGCAGTTTCTGATGCACCACAATCTGATATTTACAAGCCAACAAAACATATTTTATGATCATCTTGCTTCAAAATGTGGAGCCCGAATGGGACAAAATGGGTACAAAATTGAGAATATTCCATATAATCTAGAAGATTACACTAAATTTGACACCGTAAGAGTAGACGTGTAAGAAGATTTATAGTTGATGGGTAGTTGAAATTACTCAAACAAGAGGGTTTTTTTTCCATAATTTGACCATACATCTAGGGGTGGTTGTAATTTACCCATAATATAAAATAGAAACAAATAAAATTAAGGATAAATTACACCTAGACCCCTGAGGTATGCTAAAATAACTTTAATGTCTCTATAGTATCGGTAATTACAATCACCTCTTGAAACATTGTTAGAAATCCCAACACAATAATGCATTGGATAAGTTATTCCGTTAGGGTTCTAACGTACTATTAGTTTCAGGCAGTGGTGGAGACAACATAGAGCTATGACTCTCCTAACAGTTCTTAAATTCTTATTATTTTCTATAAGATTTATAAATTTTCGTCTATGCTAACATTAACGGACCTGCGGGAAACAAATATAGTGCATATCGGTCCTCAGGACATGAAATCTTGGCTCCGTTAATTGTTTCAGGAGTGTGATTGTAATTACCAATACCACAAGGACCTTAAAGTTATTTTAGTATACCTTAGGGATATAGGTGTAATTTTACCCTAAAATGAAATATCATAATTAGTAACAAGAATGTTTCATCTTTAAGGTTATTTGAACCAGATTCAGACAAGTTTACGTCTCTAAGCGAATTTCAGAAGTGCGAATTCACGCTTGTCGAAGCATTACGCCGAGTTACGCAAAGAAAGGTAATAAAAAGAATCGAAATACTTAAGGCCTTGTTTGGTTGGTTAGTTCATTTTTATTATTATTATTATTATTATAGAAATACAAACTATATATCAACTTTAATCTGTTTAGTTATTTAATTTTCGTTTATCGAAAAATTCGCCTCGACTTAACGTTTAATTTCAGAGAATCCTCCTCAGCAAAGTGGAGCAGCATTCAAGTTATCAGGACACTATACAGGTAGTAATAAAACAAATAAAATAACATATAATTAATCGAATATTATTGCGTAATTTATTCGATAAAACAATATAATTAATGTTTAATTTTTTCGTAATATTTTTACAAAAAGCAAATAAATACAGTTGTCCAGTATATAACTGAAGCACAAGCACAAGGAGCAGAAACTTTACTCGAGAACGACGATGATCATGGAATCGAGTTAAGCAACGTGGATAATATGAATTTTGGCTCTGATGAATGCTCTGGTACTCTAAGGTAAATGTTAATACATAGTTTATTGCATTTAGTGCCCCTGTATAATTATAAATCTTAACAAAGCACCCCCTACGATGCACTTTTTTTAGCGTAAAACTCCCTAAATGGTTTGTTTTGGGGGGAAATTTGCTAATATTTATAAAATGAGGAGTTTTTTGACAGTTCAAATAAACACGGGGTGCTAAATGCAATAAACTCTCGTATAATAATTAGCACATGTAATTTTTGTTATAGACATTTATCATTCATATTTACACATACATATAGTCATACTTATATATATAAACTAAAATCTTGAATTAAGTTGTATTCGGTGTATGTATTAATTAATCAAAAAAAATTGTTCGCTCGTAATTTCAGGAAGCTCTCATCGCCAACGATTTACGAATCCGTCTCCCAAACAAGTGGAAACGAGAATGCTCAAATTATCGAGGAGTTCCATTCCTCGAAGGATCTCTATACTTCTCTAATGCCCCAAGAAAGCTCGAGTTCTAAGGTCCTCGTATTTTACACTATTTATATTTGTTGCCTAAACTAATTTATAAGTTACTTATATAAACACTCACACCAACTGCATATACAATGTCTGAAGAATGTTACAAAAACATAACCTAAAAGCAATTATAAGTCAGAAATAAATTATATTCCATGCAATAAAAATTATGTTATGTACACATTTTATTACCTATATTAAAGGTCGTCTAATTAATTTAATTACGCGCGTTTTTTAATATTAATCGGCAGGGCGTATTGGATGGATCGACAGGCCTTACTTCAATACTAGGCCAAGAAACTATGTTCTTAGCAGCACAAAGCCACCACCAGATGCCATCAAGTGAACTTCATCTATAAGTAATAAAATGTATAAATATATATTTTTTTAAAAGAATTAATAATTAGTCCAATAATGCAATTATTCGAAATACATATACAATAATTTGTTTTACATTTTAAATATAAATGATATTTTAGCTGTGCATATATATACTATTGTTTTGAAAAACAATTTTGTATTTTCACAGTTTTTTTTTAAATTTCTTCATGCGTCGAAAATTGATAAAATAAATACATCTAAAATATTTCACATGAACATAATAAATTAAAAATAAATAAAAAGAAAAATAAATAAATAAAAATGATTGTATATCTATCACATATCACATGCATTGCACAAAAGCTGCATATGCTGTGTATGTATATGTATTACAATCTGTATGCATGCAGTATTTCTTATGATATATGTTTTTCAGTACTAGGAATTAAAAAAACTTAAAAAAGGCCCAAAATGCCCTAAAATTCGATTTAAATAGTACTCGGAAATTGCATTTTAAACGCAACGATTTATTAAAAAAAATAAAATAAAAATCACTCTCAAGAATTACTTAGAGAAACCTCCCATGTTGTAATTATTCTCATCAAGCAGCAAATCCTCCCACTCCCATAAATTCGTCTTCTGAATTTTCGACGCCCAAAATGTATTATCTCCAGTAGTATCCTATTAAAAATAATAATAATAATAATAAAAAAAATTCAAATTAGCACAATTAAAAAAATAATTATTGGATAACCAAATAGGAAATAAAATTAAATAATTTAGCGATTTATTAAATATATATTTACCTCTTGCTGCTGATTATCAAATATTGGATCTTGAGATATAACTTCCTTTGGTACCATGTAAGAACTTCCCTCCCCAACATAATTATTATTATTCATATTATTATTGACATAATAATCCATGTTAATTTCGCCTCCCTCGACATTTGCGACTTCGTTGAAATTCGAAGTCGCATATTGGAAGTTATTTTCCATTTTGTCATATTGAGGGTTTGTCACACCATCAGCATTATTCGGTGTCACTATTGTGTTAGACGCAAATCTATAAACGAAAAAAAATTAAAATTAAAATTAAATTAAAACATATAGGATATAAATTAAATTAGAATGAAATAAAATAAAAGAAATAATAATTTAAATTAGTGACAGTACTTCACCTTGGAGGCTGCATGGTGGATAGGTTATTATGAATGGAGTTGTCAATTGTGTTTGGAAAAATCATCTGCAAAATAATTTTAGATTTCTTAAAATAATTATCCTTATATAATTAATCATAAAATATATATTAAATATTAATATATATAATTAAATTCTCATACTTACAGAGGATAAATTGTTCCAAGAATTGAGATTATTTTGTTCAGGGAAATTGAGCAAGGTTTGATTAACCATCAATGGCTGCTGCTGCTGCTGCTGCAATTAAATTATTGATTTTTTTTATTTAATATTTAGAATTAAATAAATAATTGGAATTTTATAATTTATAATGTGGCTAATAATAAATTTGTTACCTGTTGTGCAACTTGGGACAAGGGAATATTCTGAGTATCTGATATTCCCATAATGCCTGCATCAAGAACGACCGATGAGTTTGCGATCGGGAAGTTGCACATGTTCGATGAGATCGGAATGTTGGATAAATTCGACGGGCCCGCGTCCATATTCGGTGTGTTTTTTGTGTGGTCGAGTAAGTCTTGAAATATGCTCTCGCGAACTCGTGCACTGTATAAATAAACCATCAAAATCATTAATTTTTTTTCCGATCTTTTAGATGTCGAAAAATGTTACGTATGCATGCATGCATTTGTCACTACTTTTACATAAAAGTAGTAATGATAATAATAATAATAATAATAATAATAATAATAATAATAATAATAATAATAATAATAATAATAATAATAATAATAATAATAATAATAATAATAATAATAATAATAATAATAATAATAATAATAATAATAATAATAAAGAATTCACCTGTAGGGGCTAATCCAAGGATCAAGTTGCATGAGAATCTGGCGGCCAGACGGGTTTTGTGCGGTTAAAGTGACGTCGTTTTCGTTAAAATTGGAGGTAAAAGGAACACCTTCTTGATTCACAAATCCCATTTGATCCACCTAATTTAAAAAAAAAAAAAATTAATTAGTACATTAATACCATAATATATAAATATAATTGCATATTTTTTCAAGAAATATATATATTCTTACTGGATTATTCGGTTTAGCACGCATTATCGGCGGATTACCGAACAATTCACTCTAAATAATAAAAAAAAGAGTATTAGTAATTTTTAATTGAAACTTCAGAAAATAAAAATTTATATACATATTTATATTTTTTGCAATTTTTAAATAAATAATAAAGTTTATAAGAGACTAACTTTTCTGGCTAGGACTCTTTCCAGTGAATGGTTAATGTTTCTCTCACACCAAGTTAATTGGTGCAGCGAAGGTCTTGTTCTGGGTCCACTTCATAATCCCTATAAATTAAATTAAATCGAAAAATAAATTCAACAATTAAAAGAAAAGCATATTAAATTAATTAATTAGAATATAAATTTATTGAAATGAACCTCATAATATATATAATAAAAAAAAGTTAAAATTACCTGAGATCTGCTTCTAAAATTTGGTACTCTAGGCTACCCTTTTTGATTTGCAATTCGAGATTCTGTTAGGACAGGATTAAAAATATTAACCAAATTGTAATAGAATATATATATATATATATATATATATATATATTCTGAAAGAAAAAAAAATTAATGATATTAGACAGAAAGATATATTTACCTCAATTCTGTAGTGAACACGTTTCCAAAAATCCAAGCATAATAGTAGAATTAATTCGATATGCACCAAAAAAAAAAAAACAAGTTATTACAATCGGATAAAATTAATACGACATTTTATTACACATCAAAATATAAGAATCAAGACTCGAATAATTTAGTACAAAAAAAATCAAATAACAAAAGAATTTTCCGACTTAGTAAAAAAAGATGACCTAAAACATGTATGAGAAAAGGGATTGCATCGAGACACCTAACATATTAAATAAGATCTTCATGATTTGAATTTCTCCAATTTGTAACATGATTTGAATTTCCAAAAAAAAAAATACATCGAGAAAAAAAAAATAATTAAAAAATATCTTCATGAAGATAAAGAAGTAGAAAGCAAGGATTTTAGAACAATATCCAGAAATTTGTGAAAAAGCTGCAGATTAGGTACAAAGGATTTCAAGTAATTAATATATGATATGTGCTTTTGTTTTTTAACATATCTAAGTAATAAATGAAGAAGTTCTTTTGTGAAAATATAATAATAATAATAATAATAATAATAATAATAATAACAACAATAATAATAATAATAACAACAACAAAAATAATAATAATAATAATAATAATAATAATAATAATAATAATAATAATAATAATAATAATAATAATAATAATAATAATAATAATAATAATAATAATAATAATAATAATCATAATAATAATAATAATAATAATCCTCAATTTTTTTCCGATCTTGAAAATACGACAAAACAGCGACAACTAATCGACAAAAATGAACGTCTAATCCTCACATTTTACCAATCTTGACAATACAAAAACAACGACAACTAATCGACAAAATTGAACGAATAATCCAAATTTTTTTACTGATCAGATGTAAATACGACAACTAACGACAAATAATGAATGGTATACATATCCACACAACAATTTCCAAAGTATGATAAACTACTCAACAAAACTTAACCTTCAAATATATTAGGCGCGATTTGAAATTAATTATAACAAAAAATTGATGATAGGGTTTGAAGATGAACAATTTTAGGTATCAAATTGGATGTCAATTTAATTTCTTCAAAAAGTATTTAATGGAATAAAAAATTATTTGGCCGAAATAAAAAAAAAAAAAAATTAATTTATGGGTTTTTGAGTATGAAATATTTGGGATCTTGACATTTGGTACATAAAATAAATTACATATCATTCCTACACTATAAAACAAACAAGAACAACATGATATTCAATAACTATATTAATGGTGATCGATATGAACTCTTGCAGAATCTATAAACTTCATAATATTTTTCGGTTTATATTTAATGCATAAATAATAAATACCCTACGTATAAAAAGAGATATTTTGGCGTATTCGGAGATATCGAAGTGGATTTTCTATT